CAAATGTCAACATGAATCAAAGCAAAGGCCATACTGGCAGAATGAGTTGTTACAGGAAATGGCAACCGTTTCTGTTTGGATAAATGACAGATATCACAGTGAGAGAAGGTTCACTGGTTACATGGGTGTTTTGATTTTGAAGTAAATGTAAACGATCCCTACTAGGGTGTCCTAGACGCCAATGCCATAGATGAACATCTTGAGGGTTGAAATTGTAAGTGGCAGCAACATTGTGGGAAGAGGAAGAACTAGCTAGAATGGGAAGAGATGAAGTGAAATGGTAAAGACCATTATGTTGTTTTGCCAAACCAATCTGCTTCTGGGTCAGAAGGTCCTGAAGGTAACAAACAGCAGAATGAAAGTGCAAGGAGATAGGTAAGTCACTGGTAAGTTTGCTTACAGAAATGAGGTTAAAGGTGAAACTAGGGACAAGCAGCACATTGTGCAAAAGAAGACCAGAAGGAAGTTTGACACTGCCTATATGACTAACTGACACCTTGGTGCTGTTTGGTAAGTAAACAAATACATCATGGACATCAGTATAGTCAAGGAAATTAGACAAAGAACAAGTGATATGATCTGAGGTCCCAGTATCCAAAATCCAAATGTTGGTTAATGCAAATTTGTCCATCTCATGGTGTGAAGAAATAATGTACTTACCAGCATGATTTGGGAATGATGGTAAGTACTGGGAAACAGAAAATGCCTTGTGGTTGATATGTGGAGAACCAGGAGATGGTGGGGCAGAATCCAAACCAAATTGGAGAAAGTTCTTCAACTTGTTGATGTCTTCAACAGAGAGACCCAGACTTAATGGAGAAGAGGCAGAATTAGAAGTATTGTTCGAAACAACACTGCCCTCAGAGGAGTGACCATCTTGTGTAACAGCTGCAGCCACACCATGTTCCTTCCCTTTCTCTTTTCGTTGCAACTTCCAGCAATCTTTGATCAAATGGCCAGGACGTTTGCAATAGTTGCAAATAACTCGTTCACCATCATTGTCAGACTTGCCCCTAGGGCGATTGTCCTGCTCATAATCAAATTTCCAACGAGGGCGATCACGACCAGCAGCCAAAGCAATAGACTGGCCACCTCGTTGGCCAGAAGAGTCTCCTTTAAGTTTCTGTTCATGTTGGAGTAGATCATCCAGAGCATCAGACACAAGGGGTAAAGGCTTCATCATAAGCAATCGAGTTTTAACAACCTCAAAACTCTTGTTAACCCCCCTGAGAAAGCGAATGAGGTAATCTGTGTCATGTTTAGCTTTGAAAGCAGCAACAACAGCACAAGCAACATTACTACCAGGAGCACAAGAGCAAGGAACAATGGGAGAAAACTGCTGATATTCTTCCCATAGACCATTGATCTTGGTGTAATACTGCAGAATAGACAGATCACCCTGTGTACAAGCAATTATCTCATCTTCGAGATTAATAATGCACAGGGCATTCGGTTTAGCAAACCGGCGACGCAAATCTTCCCAAAGAACTCGAGCATTCTCGTGGCTCATAAAGCTACGAGCAATATCCTTCTGTAAGGAGTTGAGCAGCCAGCACAACACAAGAGTATTGCACCCATCCCACAAGTAAAACGTTGGATCGGTCGAGAGAGGTGCCAGAATCGACCCATCAACAAAACCCAGCTTATGTTTCGTTTTCAGGGCCATGCGCATAGATCTACTCCACAAAGGGTAATTGGAACCATCGAAGATAATCGGAATGATGGATTGTGACAAATTCTCATTAGGGTTGAGATAATAGGGGTTTCCAAAGGGGATCTCACCTCTGTTACCCAGCTCTGGTGACGCAGGAATGCTCCCAAACTGAAATCCTGCTCCAGAAGCAGCGACATTCCGATTAGGATTGACCGGAGATGACTGCGACAAGCCGGACATTGTTGCAGGAGATTGTTCTGAGCGCGGAGGCTCTGATACCATGTAGAATTTGGTATAAAGCGAGCATAAAATGGATCGGAAACCCTCAAAGAGTGAGGTTCCAGCTTGTTCCTATTTATAGTCGTTATACAGTGTCAACAGAGGTTTAAACTAAGCGTGCCACATGGCTTAGCCTCATTGGTTCGTTCAGTACTTTAATTTAAACAAAGCGGTAAATAACTTATAAGTAAAACGACACAGTATAGTAAAAACGTTTCTTCTTCATCTTCATTCTTCCTCCACGTTTCTTCTCTGCAACTTAGCCGTTGGCTACTGTTCCATTGGACAAGGTTGCTGCAGCTTGATCCAAGGTCTCTGTCATTCACAACCATTAACCAGCACCAATGTGTCTGAGGTTACAGCGCCTATGCATGTCAACAAAAGAAGGAAGCTTTCACAGCCATCAACCAGCACTGATGTATCTGAGATTACCGCGCCTGTGCTTTGCTACAAAAGAAGGAAGCTCTTACGACGATCAACCATCACCAATGTATCTAACTTTACAGCCCCTAAACTTGTCTACAGAAGAAGGAAGCTTTCCCAGCCGTCCCCTATGCTTGTCTACAATAGAAGAAAAGTGAAAAGGGGTAAGCACCCTTCCCCTTCTTCACTGAATCATAGTATGAATGATAGTTGCTCTTCGTCACCATCAAGATCGAATGTGGAGTTCAATTCGGTGTGGATGGGTAAAGAAATGGAAGATGATACAGCTGAGTGCTCTTCTTCCTCTACATCTGAGAGGGATATATGCATTTCGATTCTTGTAGTTACCGTACGAGAAATACCCAAGTTTTGTGATTTCGCAGGTGGATGTGAAATTCTCGACTGGCCAGTACGAAGACCAGATTCTTTGCGACGTGGTTTACAACCTGCCCAGCCACATCGTAATGGGGAAGCCTTGTTTCGAAATCGACAGGTCGAATTTGTTAGCAGAAGAAGCAGAAAATTCAAAGTACGGAGACGTTCGTATTGAATCCATTGTCTCCAGAAGAGGCTGCTGGCAATTTGACGGAAGTAAAACGACTCCGGGAGGAGTACCAAAGGGATATGGCGTCAAAATTGTCGTCGTTGAAAGACGAATCCGTTCAAACTCTGCCTGGCATTAAAAACCCCTGTTTTGCTTCACCGAAACAGAATTTTGACTCCGGCAAATTGTTCGACAACGGTGAAGGGGACTTGGAGCACGACGAGCCATCAAACGAGTTCCCAGTGTCTGAAAGAATGACCACGATTCGAGGAGAAGCCCACAGAGATGGAGAAGCGAGGCCCGAGCCCAAGCTCGATGCCGAAGAGAAGATTTCATGTTCTCCAGCAGGGAACCTCTGTTTTTCCACGAGAAGACAAAGCAAGAGAGAGGGCATCGTGGGTGGAGCTCTAGAGAGTGATTCGATCCAACCAAACTGGCCCAACATGTTCCCTACAGCTGCAGGAAGCTCTCAAATTGATCAAACTGTCACGAATCCTTCCGTTTTGCAGAATCAAAATCGAGATTATACTCCTCTGGAAACGCGGAAACAAGAAGCAAAATTCGCTGACTTGGT